CAGCTGAGCTAGTAACACCACCTTATATAAATTCGCCTTGGCAGCAGCGACGTCAACATCGGCAGTGGAACGTTGACGTTGGTACCAGGGATGAAAAATGGAAATTTCAGATTGTACCTAATATCATAAAATAAATGCACCTAAATGAGACAGATTGTACCTAAAAAAAGTTACATCATTCGTATGTAGTTTTTTAGTAATATGTTTAAAAATATGAATACAGAAGGTGGATGTACTTTAAACTTGATTAGCTTTTTTTAACTGAGCTTGTATCTACATCCAGAGTATAGTCTAATGGGAATCGGAGAAGCTTTTTGACTACTGAAAAATATTGACGAAATAGACAAAAAACACACTTTGCGAAGTTTACTTTTTTCCAGCTTTTTATAAAGCAACAGAAAAAGTGTGCTAATTTATCCGATTCCCTTTAGTAGCTGCAGCGATTCTAGAGAAAATAATGGGAATTGCCGTAAGTATATTCGAAAGCAGTTTAAATATATTCCAGAAATCAAATAGCGAATATGAGTCAAATGGCTATTGAATAGATTTGAGGCCCTCAACTACAGAAAATATGAAATATGAATAAATCCTAGACCCAGGAATGTATGGGCGAATAAAATTTATAGACAAGTTAAAAATGTTATTATATGATGGGAACTTTAACTTTTATGGTTCCAATGGATTAAAAAATGCATTCAACCAATTGCAAAGGTAAAGCGTTTGTAAATTCAACCCCGTCATTCGACGCAATGACGTTTTATTGAAGAAATTAATTCCAATTTCGAGGACAAAAAATATAACAAGAATTACGAATTTTAGGAAAGCTAAGTAAAGTGTTATTTTTTTGTAGTGGCTGTTCTAAATGCAATGGCAGCCAACTCAGTTTTGAGAATTCCTCGACTTCAACAATGTTTAAGAGTATACATAATATGATTTGGTTAATTTCTTCCTTTTGACCACTTTTCCCATGCCGACAAGTAAATATATTATCACAGTAAAGGAAAAAAAATAAGAGTACAAATTCATTGATCAAAAGGTGATTGTATCCAAAAACTAGAGGTTGTACCTAATGTACCTTTAGGTCAGCAAACGTCGGNATAAGAGTACAAATTCATTGATCAAAAGGTGATTGTACCCAAAAACTAGAGGTTGTACCTAATGTACCTTTAGGTCAGCAAACGTCGGAAAAAGGTACAATTGTACCTACTTTTTCATCCCGGGTTGGTGCATACATATGTACGTCGTCTGCACTGATTTTACTGCAGTGAAGGTGAGAAAATGCAAACAACGACGATGTTGAAGCTAACGAAGGCGGTGACAGCGCAACGTGCGAAGACGTCGACGTGAGTTAGTGATAAAAGTGGCATATTTGCGTGCGTATCATACACCCGTTCAACACAAAATCAATGAAAACAAGTAAGAAAGTCTAAGTTCGGGCGGAGCCGAACATTAAATACCCGGCGCAAGTATTAAACATGAACCAAAAAGACAAGATCACGCGGGCAGGAGAGTAGCCCGTTAGAATCGCATTAAGGAAAAAAGTTGAACGATTTTGACATTAGCCGTTTATTTACATTTCTTCGTTGTTTACAATTTGGTGGTGGCTTTTTACTGCAATTTTCTTCATTTTCACTTGTGACAACGTGTGTACACATAAGATAAAGAATAATTTAACACAACGGCATGATTTATAGAAGAATTTGCATAATAAAAATGATTTTTCATGCGTTCAACAATTTCGCGGTTTTCTCCGTTCTCTTCGTTGTTTACTTCTTACAACAAAGATGGCGTCGAGATTTCGGCAGCTAGAAAATAACTTTTTTCGTT